TTGCTGCTGAGCGCGCGTGACGCTGTGCCGGACCCCGCGGCCCTGGCCCACCAGGGCTGCGACATCAACTTCAAGGAGGTGCTGGAGGACATGCTGCGCTCCCTGCACACGGCACCCACTGAGCCCCCCGGCCCGCTGATGGGGGCGGGAGGCGGGGGTCCAGAGCGGCAGAGCGTGATCCGTTTCAGCCCACCCTTCCCCAACTCCTAGACGTGCACCCCGCCACGGCCGCCTTCTCCCGGACCGGGATGGTGCGGACCGGGACGGTGGGGCACGCGCAGATGGGCCTGGGCCTGAACTGGGGCCCCCTGCTCCCTTCCTCTCCGCCCGGGGCGCCCGGGAGCCCGAGGCTGATGGTCCAAGCTGCTCACTCAGGAAACCCCGGTGCTCATGCCCCGCCTCGGGGCTTCATGGGACAGACCCCGTTAATATATGCAATCCCCTCGCCCCGCGCCCTAAATTATTGCCCGCCCACCTCTCCTCCCCTAATCCATGGCGGGCAGCCCTGGTTTCTATGTGTATTTATGAACTTTAATGTATATATGTAAAGAGATCTTTTTTAAATATATGTGCCTTTTGCCTACTTCCCACCGTCTGCTCCTGGCCTTTGGTCACCGGGGGACCTGGGGGTGTCAGGGTCGCAGGGGTGGTTCCTTACTGAGGCAGCACCTGTGGGTTGCTTGGAAAATGCATCTGTCCCGGCTCCAGTGCAGACACTGGGGAGGGCTGGGGGTCTGGGGGGCATCCTGCTAACAACAGGGTTAGCCCGTGGGGGGGCGCAGAACCGTCTCACTTTTCTTACCCATGAAACAAAACACCCGACACCCAAAGTTAAGGGCGAGGTTTACTGTAGCTCAGTTAGTAGAGGTTTCATTTTATAGATGGCTCCAAGACAAGAGGGGCATCACAGCAACCCTGGCCCTTATACAGTCCTTCATCCAGATCACAGCCCAGCGAAGGCCTCCCATTATCGTCCCCGAACTCTGCTAAACCAATCAGAGGACTAAGTATTCATGCATCCTGGATCCCAGCATCACACTCTTCAGATCCAGCCACTTCTGAAAAGCTCCACGTATGGCCACACGAGGTCTTGGGGGGGGCATCTAGACAGCCATAACAGGAAACTAGGTACCACATGTGCTGCCCGTGGCACTGCACACCTCTGGACCAAAATTTGGGGACCACTTCACCCTGAGCTTCCAGGGCACAGGGACAACAGGTATCTAAAAGGGTGGTGAACAGGAGCCAGCAGACCATGAATTGGCTTAGGCAGTTCCTGGGGACCCAGGACCCCCATGCTGCTGACCCCTTCTCCCCTGGCACAGAGGTCCCCACCCAACTGCGAGTCTCCCTGGGGGCACTGCAAGTTGGTGGAACAGCAAGCAGCTGGGCTCAGCTCTGCAGAATCACAGCCATAGTGCAGCCTTCACCCTCTCAGGAGACAATCTGGCCAGGCATGGTGGGAAAGGCCTGTAACCCCAGTGCTCAAGAGGCTAAGGCAGGAGGATCCCTGAAAATCTGAAGCCAGCCTAAATTACCAGTCCTAGTAAGACCCTGCCTCAAAAAATAACAAAAAAAAAACCCAATCTGGGCAGTGATCCTCCTAAACACCAAGGGACTCAGCACCCACACCAGGCCAGACCGTGACCATCCCCAACTCCCCTGGCCTAGCAGGAGCCAAGCCTGCCCTAGTGGGAAATCAGCTGCTTAAAGCATTATCTCCTCTGAGCTCCCTGCCTGCCCAGGGCTATGGATTAGCAGGGCCCCGTGACTAGCTGACCCAGATCTATCAGGCATGAGGCATATGCAGCCCTCTGACCCCAGGGAGCCCAGACACACACACCAAAGAGGAGCACACAGCTGCCCACTTCTATGCTTTATTCCCACAAGGCGGCAAGGGTGGTCGCCGAGCCCAGGCCGTGGCCGCTCCTCTGTCTGGCGGTGCACGCATCCTCAGGTCTGCCTCACCAGCACACTGGTTTGCAGGCAGGCCGTCATGGTGCCAGGTAGAAGGCTCGGGGCAGGCAGGGGCTCGGCGGGGTGCAACTGTGGGGCTACAGGTAGCAGGGCAGGTCCTTCTCAATCACCTGCAGGGAGAGGGCCATCTGAGAGGGGTGTTCTCTCCCCAGGGGCCCCACCTCTCCTCAGGAGGCACCTACCAGAGGCTCCTCCATGGGGCCATACCGCTTCACCACACAGCCATTCTTGTCGATGAGAAACTTTGGGGGGGAGATTCGTTGGTGGAGGGTGAGAGTGCCCTGGGATGGGCAGCCCCACCATACCCACCTCTCCAGCCCTTACCTTGGTGAAGTTCCATTTGATGGCACTGTAACACAAACAGAGTCTGAGCGAGCCGCAGCCACCAACCAACCCCAGGCCCCACAACAGCCCACCACCCCTGGGCACTCACTTCCCCAGCATCCCCTTCCCCTTGGGCTGAACTTTCATCCACTTCCACAGGGGGTGGGCATCATCCCCATTCACACAGATCTTGCTGAACATATCAAACTTGACGTTGTAGCCAGCGGCGAACTGCTTGATCTCCTCGTTAGTCCCTGGCTCCTGGGGGATGGGGTGGGGGTGGGGACAAAGGTTTGTCGGGAGCAAACACACCATCCCGTCCCTCCCCTGCGCGAGCACACACCTGCTTCCCGAACTGGTTGCAAGGGAAGGCCAGGATACGCAGACCACACTCAGCATACCGTGCGTGCAGGTCGACAAGCTGAGTGTAGTTCACTTCGGTTTTGCCTCACTGAGAGGCCACGTTGGTGACGATGCACACGAAGCCCCTAGAAGGCGGCGATGAGAGGTGGTCGGGGAGGCCGAGCTCACAGTTGGCTGGGGGACCCGGCCCTCCCACAGCTCCCACTAGTGGGCACTCACTTGTATTTGTCTAGGCTAACCATGTGCCCATCGATGTCCTTGGCAGAGAACTCGTGCATAGAAGGAGAGCAGCGCCAGTCATCCCGAGAAGCGCACTGGAAAACAAAGGGCGCTGAGTGGTGGTGGCGGGACGGGGATGACATGCGAACCCCAAGGTGCCCGGGGAGGGGACGGCAGGCAGGTGGACCCCAGGGCCTGGCACAGGGAAATATCGGGCTCCTCCCCACGCGCGCTCCCTGCTGGAGACCCTAAGGTTGGATGAGACGGGGACCCCAAAGGATGCCAGGGAGGGCAGCGACGCGCACCAAGTCCCGCAACCCGGAGTGGCCGCTCTCCCGGTTCGCCCAACCCCAAGGTGCCCGGGGAGGGGACGGCAGGCAGGTGGACCCCAGGGCCTGGCACAGGGAAATATCGGGCTCCTCCCCACGCGCGCTCCCTGCTGGAGACCCTAAGGTTGGATGAGACGGGGACCCCAAAGGATGCCAGGGAGGGCAGCGACGCGCACCAAGTCCCGCAACCCGGAGTGGCCGCTCTCCCGGTTCGCCCCCGCTGCCC